TTGCAGATGTATTTCTATCTCAGTATTAATTTGATGCAGCTAGTCCTTCTTTCTGGCACTGTGGACATTTCTAGTAACATAGAGCTAGTACTAACAGTGCTTTATAGAGACTCTTCCTTTAGAGGGTCATTTCACATAATCAGACTGGCGAAAAGGGCAATGTTATCCTTGAATGTCTAAATACACATAAACATGTAAGAAGAAGTAATTCATTTTGCCTTTGTATCTTCTACTGTTAATACTACTATTAGAACAACTTTTTGAATTGTAATACACATGCTTCAGGAAGTGTAAAAAGCCCTAGAGCTCAAAGGAAGGTGGCAGAAAGACCACAGTGTAGTGGTGTGATGCTGACAAAGTTCAATTTATTCATCTGATTTAAAAGAAAATTAAAAAAAAATTATTTCATCATGAAGGTGATCTCTACTGGGACAGAGGGACTCAGCTTTGCTGATAAAGGCATAACAACATCCCCCAGAGGGACACTGAAATAATATTTTTTTTAAGATTGAAGAGGAATTAGCTAAGTGCTAAAGACATTAGAAGAAAAATCAATTAAATACTAAGATGCAATCTCTGCCTCTGAAGTTCCCTAAGCCATGGAGCTAGGGGCTTCTATCAGAGAAGGTATCAGTCTCTGCTGTCCTCTTATCCCTGCAAGCACTCAAAAATGACTGCTGTGGAGGGAAAGGCAGATGAACTGGATAACCTAGTACAGGTGTTCTCAAATTATATTGAAAACATCTCTTAATGTGAGATTGAATAGCTTTTAAGGAACAGCTTTTTATCCTATATAGCTGCTAGAATAAATTACTTCAGTTTTTATGCTAGAGGTGAGCAGAGGTATGATTGGATCATCGTGATGCTTTCTGACCTTCAAACCCTTTTTTAATAAGGGAATACACTTGCTTGCATAGAACTCTGTGTGAACTTCATAGTTGCACAATTACATGCATTAGGCCCACAAGCTGACAGCTAGATGGGAGAGAAATGTCTGTCTTCCCCGTATGTGTCTGGGATTGGCTGTGGCTGCAGATAACTTCTCTGACAAGGTTGAGCAGTGCTTACAGTATTTACAGAGAACTCATCTTTCTTAATATATTGACTTAAGCGTCCTACTCAAATGATCAGGATCATACTCCTCATCAGATTTGCAAAGGAAGGGGATTTTTCTGCAAATCAGAGTTGCAGATAACGGAGACTTCTTCAGGAGATAGTCCATAGCTTACTTGTACATGAATAAATTAAATAAACATGTCAGTGACTTTTTTCTTGCGCTGAGAACCACTGGCACAGAACTTCTTGTGTCCACACTAATAAGCTAACTTGTCCAGAACAGAGTAGCTTTGTATGTTTTGCCTGTTCGTGATTGTGTGGGGCCACCTTCTGAACTTTTCCTGGGAGTTCTTTGAGATAAGTTGTTATCATGGGCCAAATCTGTGCAAGGAACTTTTTTTTTTTTAACAATTTGATGGACTTTTAAAACAGTTTGACAATACAGATAAGAGAATTTCAGTGTCCAGGAATGTGGTCCCTTTCACTTTTTAATTCAGTGCTACAGATATATATTTTAGCATGGGCATGCTCATACCCTGCCAAAAAAGACTAGAAATTTTTCCTTTTTAAATGCCCTTGGAGGGCACACTAACACTTCCTGTTTGATTCATGGCACGACAGGAGGCAATTGCCGCTCCAATTCTTCACCATCCTGTTGAAATGATAATAGTCTATCTCTGCAGTTTCCATCTTGCTGATGTGTCAGAGTTGTCAGTGACAGCTGTACATCCATCATGCATTTCCCACCTGTCTGATGTGGCTCTTCAGCCCTGCAGGTGTGCCCAGAAGTCCCAGGCCTCTTTCCCATCTGCCTCATCAAATGACTTCTCATCCATTCAGGGTGGGAAGGGACATGTAATCAACAATGTTGCCTCATACCTTTTTCCACATTCCACTTCCCTCCCCAGCCTGGTCACATTTCAGGGACTTATGTACCCACTATATTAGGAGGCATATGATCATCTTTTCCAATTTGGGCAAAGGATTTCCTTGGCTGTCTCAAAATGATCAGGCTGCCATCTCATCCTGAGGTTTTTTGCAGCCTGCATATCTATATTCTTACATTCAGATTTTGTGGTGGTCCTCTTACGCATTCTGTCAGTGAATCAAAAAGAAAATATATTCACATCTTGCATTTTTCATAAGACTTGTGACTGTTGTTATCATTTTTAATGGTTGGCTGAGATAATTGTTGGCCTGACAATTTATGTTTTGGTTGTCTTTGGCTCGTGAAGTATTTACTAAGTTCCTGGTGGCAACTATGACCCATCTTCACCTTTGTGATGGTTTTGTTTGTTTGTTTGATAGCAATTAGACCTATCTAATCTCATGGGTAATCTGGATGATTTGTCACTTCAGGTGTTTCTTGGCTTGAAGCTACTGTCTGGCAAGTATTAACTCTGTAGTCTTCCACATTTTGGAACCCAACATCTGTGGGTTAAATGGATTCCTTGGAAATTCAACATGAAGTTAGAGGAAATGGTGTCAAAACCAAAAAAGACAAGTTAGGCTGATTTGGTTAAATCATACAGAGAAGCAAATGATGAAATGAAGCTGTTTGGACATAAAATTGATAAGAACTTTCAAACAAATCATGAGCAGAAACCATCCATCTGAAAGGAAAAAAGTGAAAAAAATGGAGCTTGAAGGTGATGTAGGTAAAGTCAGTCATTGGACATTGAAACCTTAGAGGTTTTTTTCTGTTAAACTGAGCCATGAGAGTATATGAATGCTCCTTACAGGAAATAAATTATTGCCTATAAAATTTGAATATTTAATGAAGCTATAATTAGAATACATTGCTACCTGGGTATATTCTTGCAAAAATGATTAGTGTATTGGAAAATAAAATCATGTTTTCCTTGGTTTTATTACCTAATTTAAGTTTCATTATCATCATGTTTTCTTACAAATGCTAGCCTATGCATAATGAAGAACAGTCGTTACCCAGCATAAACTGAAGACTGCCATGGTCTGTGTTTTTAAAAAATATAACAGGAACAAGGGGCTTAATTCACATCATTCTCTCCTACCACAGTTCCTTGTGAAACTGAACTGAAGGTGAGGAGTAACTTCAGATTCATACCTGTATAAGAGTAAGCAGATTCAGGCCATAAGGGCAAATTTTCAGCTCTGCTGAAACCAGTGACAACATTTTACTTGAGTTAGTGGAACTGGCTTTCTTCTTAGATGTCCATTTTATCTAAGGATGTATGTCTTGAAGTGTTTTTTTCCTAGTAGCACTGGATATTAAAAAACGTTAGAAGACCTATACTTCACATGTATTGCACAGAGTTCATTGTGTTCAGTTCTAAATGACATTTTAAAGAACTTGAGCAAGTTTCAGTTTTCTCACTAAATAAGCTTGAGCCCTGTCTGCTTTCTCTGAGGAATAGTTTTGCATTAACTTCAGTAGGATTAGTTTCAGGCTCTGTCTTAAATGCAGAAATAAGAGGTTTGCTTCCTTAAATATGTAAAAGGCAGGAAATACTCAGTAAAATCTTTCTTTATCTCTGTATCTGTGTAATCTTAAAGCTTTGTGACATACAAAACCTGATTATATTCCAACACATTTTATCTAAGAATGCTGATTTGATTACCTCCCTCCCTCCAAACAGCAAATGGAAAATCAGTGGGAACTTTATGTGCATATAGGATGGCAGAGTTTGAACCACCTTGATGAGATCAGTGCATATGAACACTTGAGTTCAAAATTAGAGCTTAATCCCACAAACTCATCCACACTTAGTAGCTTTAAAAATCACAGGAGTTCCATGTGGTCACAGCAATCTGTGTGCATAGAGAGTTTACTAGATTTATTCCAAATTTTAAGCTTTGTTGTTTTGTCCATGGATTTGGCTTACAGACACACCTTAACTCTTTTTAGCACTGAAAGGTATATATCTTTTGATCACACTCCTACATGATAACCGTCCTTAGGTTATTTTTAACAGAAATGTCTGGTGGCCTGAGATCAGTAACTATATAGGTTAAAAATTGAAGTATAAAGATGGTATCTTTTCATCTTTGTTTTCACTCACCATTCAAAAGAACAGAAATTATTGTGAAACATAGTGCAAGGAAATCAGTATAAATCCTTGAAAATCAAAGGCGTATGAGTGTTCTCATACCACAAGCCATATCATAGGATTGCATGTCCAAAATATGAAGGTGTAAGTAATGAATTGACTGGTGCATGACCACTGCTATTATTATTAGCTCTGCTGCAGAAAACATTTTAATTCCATTTTCAGCTCCGGATACTCACATGTTAACTACACAAAAACTCATTGAGCTTCTGTATTTGAAGGATTTATCTAAAATGATGAAAATTCTCCTTTAAAGACATTATTTAGCTTTTTTGCAAAAATGTTTTTCATTTTAGTTTGTTACAGTGTACTTGTAAGACATAGAATCATTGGAAGATAATAAGAAAGGAACTATAATGGCAGTTCATAAGATTTTTTTTGTAATATAATTGTTGGTGTAATAATTGAGAGTTGTAGTTTTAAATTAGAATCAAGGTCTAAGTAGTAGAAGTTACAATTAATATTGTTCAGTTGATAAGTGTGAGACTGTAAAAGGATTCCAGTTATGTTGAAAAAGTAGAAGTGTTTTGAATCAGTAGCTGTCTATAGACATGCTGCTGTAACTTCGTAACAGCATGGTAGACTGCTTTATGGAGCCGGTGATTACAAAGATCCACTTTAACCATTTTTTTCTTGCTGGCAGGTGTCCCACTGGCCTGAGGCCAGCGGCTGTGAGTGTACTGCAGCTTGCGGTTTACACCAGTGTAGAAAATGCCGACACCAGCTGGCTGCACATAATTAAGCTGATTGCGGTCTGACAACTTGAACTGTGATACAAATATGTGATAAATATACAAAATATCTTACAAATTTGATTCTCTGACATATTTTATCTACTTTCTTTCTCCTTAACAGGTATGATATCTGCACTTACAAAAACAAGCCTTGTGGAACACTGGGTAAGATTATAAAGAGAAACTTCAGCTTGTATTTGCTGTTCCCTTGCTTTATACTCAGCTATTGATTTATTGACTGATTAGATCTTTTTAAGTTTATGCTTCCAAAATCTTGCAGTTTTATAAACATGAACAATAAAAGGTAACCTAAGTGGGTATCGGCTTTGATACATTGCTGGAAGTTTAAATTAAGTGAGCTGCTGCTGTGTATTTCTTCTGTGGCAGCTGTAGTTCTGATAAAACCTAGCAGATGACTCAAACTTACTTCTTACAGAAGAGAACTTGCTGGCTTTTTTCCATTTAACATGTGTCCATGATCTAGTTAAAAAAAATACAAGTAAAAGACCTCAGGAAAGTTAAAAACAACAAAAAAACCCAAACCACTTACAAAAGAAACAAGCTTTGAGGTTTACACTGTTGCTGTGTTGTACACAGGGAGTACAACTTCAGATTGTTCCTTTCACAGACTTAGAGAAAAATACCACAGTGATATAAATTACAGTAACATTGAAACTCCTTCAAACAATGCTTTGACATCAGAGAAGCACACACAGCAACCTTAGGTGCAGGATGGAGAGCTATTGTTCTCTCCATATGTAAATTTGTTGCTAAAAGTTATTTACTATAGTATAGTTATTACCTTTAATAGTACTTTAATATATGAAAGAAATATTATTCAAAGACTAATGTGACATTTATTTAGTTTTTTTTCAATTTGCATCCTTTCATAGGCCTCTTTCTCAGAAGTAAAGAAACAATTCTAATTCAGCTAGTTCGGACTATTAATACTTTTCTCAATCAGAGCTCATAACTGTATTTGCTTTGACTTTCCCTGTAGTACTGTATGCTTTGGTAGCCTTAACTAATTTTAATTTTTCTACAAGTCCCACTCAAATCAGCACAAAGCTTCTGGCACAGGGATATAGTTTACCTGGGGAAAGGTACCAGAATTTTGCCTGCTGCAAATATAAACAATATGCACAGCATGTTTTAGTAAAAGGCAAATGATGCTGAAGAATTTCTAAATGTGACAGATTTTCTTTGACATCTGTGTGGAGGAGAGAGAACTGAAGATACTGTCTATATTGGTGTCATAGAATTGTCTTTGCAAGCGTTAAAAGAAGGAAGTTTGAAAGAGCATATATTCACGTATGAACTATTTGATATTTTTACGTGATATTTTTAACACAGATCATTAGCGTACTAGTTCTTACTGTATCAGGCTTTGGTGTAAAGGCAAATTCTGCTTCACTTGAATTCAGCATAACAGAGGATAGACTTTGGCAAATGTTATATTAAACAAAAGGCTTGACTTTTTTTTTTTTTTTTTTTTTTTTTTTAAAAAAAAACAAATAGGGTATCAGTTCCAACTCAGTATTATAGGACCCTTGGCAACACAACCATGACAATTTATTTGCATTATAGGCATTGAATTGGAGAAGAGACAAGGCCCTGTGGCCCTCTTTTGCAAGGCATTTAATATGCTTAACTCCCACTGACCTCCAGTAACTAAAGCTAAGCATATATTATTTAAGGAGTCTGTGAACAAAAGTCTGAGAGGTCTCAAAAGGTCAAAAGAAACCTGAATCATTGGTATTCTAGGAAGACAAAGAAGTAAAGGGTTTCTTTCGTGTGGCAGAGACACACCTCTCCTATTCCCGTTACCTAAAACAGGAATCATTCATGGAACCTCTTAGAAAAGATAGACCTCAGACGTCTTTGCAGCATGTCTGTGGCTCCAATGAAGGACAACTCCTTTTTTAAATCTGAGCCATAAACTGAGTTCTTGACTTGATCTCTGTCACTTTCTGCAAGCACGGTATGGAATTACGTTAATCTGGTCCTGTAAGTCACTGAAGCAAGTGCTCAGTTACAAGACCTGAAGATACAGATGACTTTGTTGCTCAAATGTGGTGGACTTTGCAGGGGAACATGACAGTTGTATATAAGTATTGTTGTGTTGTCTTCAGAATGTTCTGCTCAATTAGAATAGCATAGGTGAACTGTAATTATTGTTTTTTCTACAGGTTGCACAACTGCAAAAAATTGACAGAGTTTTCTCCATGGATAGTCTTTTTTCTTCTGATGTTTTATCCTGTTCTCAGTGGATGTGTCTACACCCATGATTTGTTTATAGCAGTAATACTGTTTTGATGCAAATTCTAGACACACATTGTCAACTTTTGCCCATGTCAATTTGGTTATCAGAGTAGTTTTGATGTGTGCAAACTAGATTTGTTTTGGAGAAAACTTGAGTCAGAACACATACTCCCCAAATGCTCCATGTGTGCCTACGGGAGACATTACAGTCAAAATCACTACGTGGACTGTATTGTCATGATATCCTGTAATACTGTTTACCTTTAGAAGGCTTTGAACCACCTGTGTAGTGAGTATGCTCAGCCTGTGGGATTAAACTAGTGCAAACTGGAGTGTCCAGTCCACATACAGATATGTGAGGAGCCTCATCAGTATCAGTGCTTCACGCTGCTGACCCATTCGTACGGCTCCACATTACTTGCTAATGTGGGCACAGCCAGGAAGCACTTGTCGTCTTACTACTTGCTTACTGTTAGTCGAAACAGAATAACTTGAAGTGCCTGCTCATATAAAGAGTATGATTTCTCTCTTCCCCTCTCCCTGCCCCATTCCCCCCACCCCCCAACCAAAGTTACACTTTTTTCAGTCATTTTTTTGTTATAGTGTAGTTAACTGAGCAGGTAATTTCCTTAAAGAAAGGATTACTGCTGCTTACAGATAAGAAACTCTAGGGAGGAATACATTAAATAAATCCAATGTTTAGAGCTTTCTCTAGTGGGACTAAATTATGACTGCAGTATGTTGTGTGATAATCTGTTGCTGAAGAATGTGTAAGATACGGAAGAGCCATATTCTGTACATGCCAGTGACTTTCTCTCTCTAGAGAAGGTTTTTAAAAGCACTTGTAATACAGTAAGGTTTTAATTCCAGAAGATGATGGGTGATAAATGGAAAAGACTTCATGGTTAAATGAATGCTTGTTATTAACATGTCTCCTCTCTCTTCATTGATGCATTCAGTTTTGTTTTTTTTTAATTTTTTTAACGTACCATGTGGGGCTTTTCATAGCTAAAAAAGCTGCTTGTATGTTTTTATGAACCCACTAAACTTAAACAGATTTCTTTAGAAAAATAATGTGGATACATTTTGCTTTCTTCAGGCTCAAGAATGTTAAAATAGAAATGCTTTCTTGAATTCCCACTCCTGGCTCAAGTTACTAGGTGGTCCCAAGTTACCAGAAGTAAAATTTATAAATCTAACCCCTAGTCTAGACATTTTCCAGCACTGACTGCAGTTCAAAAAATATTAATGTCTAGCCGGCAAAGTGAAATTCCCCCCAGTGATTTTGCAAATGACTAGAAAGTTAACCTTTTGCCAACTGCTCCTTCTGTGCATAGAGGTTATTAAAAAGAATCCAGTCATTTATAACTAGGGCTTTTAAGACTGAAACACCTTGGCATGACCCTTTGTGTCTCCTTCTGTTTATTCAGGCTTGGCCTCTGTGGCTGGAATGTGTGAGCCTGAAAGGAGCTGCAGCATTAATGAAGACATTGGCCTAGGTTCAGCTTTTACCATTGCACACGAGATTGGTCACAAGTGAGTGAGTTTAAAAAAAGAATACTTTTTAATGTATCACCTTTTTAATATTAGTTTAATAATAGAATAATAGTTTGGGGTTTTTTTTCCTGCATGGCTGTACCGTCTCTACTCTGGTGCTCTGTGTTTCTATATGTAGTATTCATGAGTAGCAGTATATTTTATTTTGTATATATTACCACAGGCTTAAATTTAGAACTGAAGAGTCATTGTTTATGCTTTGATTTTAGATTCCAGTTAAATCTGTGCTTTTGAGATTTGGCTCACAACCTTGCCACTCTGTTTCATATTTTTAAATATCTGGGTTTGAAAATTTTTTCGCCCCCCCCCCCCCCCCCAACTTTTGTCTGCCTTTCTTTATGAAGCAAAAAAGGTTAAAAGGTAATTTTTTTGCTTTTTATTATTTTGTCTTAAATGTAATTCAAGCTATTTTCATTAAAACATTGATTCTGTTGTCAGTATTCATACACTTAGTCATCTTTCACTCAAGCATGAAGTATATAAAACAGTCACAGAGGAGTCATAGCATCACTTGTTACATTTTAAGCATCAGCATACCATTTTAAAGAGCGTGATGTTATGAGACTGATAAAATCTGAGTAGAGTTTGGTCTGGAAATATTTCATGTCTTCCTTCAAAAACAGCAGTGTTAATACATTGTGATGACTCTAAAAAGACTAGGTACCTTCTATTATCAAGAGGTTTCCTTCTTTGTTTACCAACATTGAGTTGACCAACACTGACTTACGGGTGACATGTTCTTCCAAACATTAGCTGATGCAGCTGCTAAAAGTTCCAATGCAGACTGAAATGGAAGCTATCAATTTGCTGATCAAAAAAAGGAGTTGAAAGTAAACAGTTATTTCCAGCCTACCTATCATGCAAGATAATCACTGGTCAAGTATGATCTCATTTATATCATGTATGAAAAAAACACTGTAGTTCTACTGAAGTAGATGAATTTTAGAATCCAAAAGCAATTTTATAAGATCTGAACAAAAATAATTTAAAACACAGGTAATACTCCTCATCTTCATTTCCTTCCTTCTTTTCCTTCACTTGCATGTGTTGAAAAAGATAGGGTAAAGGAAAATATATTTCCCCTTTTGAGGAAAGAGCTCACCCAAATCACTCTGACGTGATTTTCATAGTTCTGAAATTCTTGTTAATAACATCTCTTATAGGTGACCTTGCTGCAAATTTGTCACATGTTTAACACAGAAAACTATCTTTCAATACCACATCTTCATTCTAATCCATATGTCATGCAGCTACATATTTTATGCAGGTTATTCCACTGATACATGAAAATAATTTAAATATATGCAGCTATTTTATCATGCAAAGCTGGCATGCTGACAGTTGATTTGAAGAGCTTAGAATTTGGTTAGAATCTGAGAAGAACAATATAGCGATAGCGTATGTCCTGTGGTCACAGGAATTTCTTTAACCATCTGTGTTTTCTACATTCCATATCTTTTGGCTTATATGTAAAGTCTTTTAAAATTCTGAAATCTCAGCTGTTTGAGGCTTTCACCTCATCCTGTAGCTGGCATGACATGTCAAATGCTTGTTTGAAAAGGAAGTAGAAATCATATTCCTTTGGCTTTTATCCAATGCACAGTGGTTAAAGAAAGTTGCATTGTAAGCTTGGTGTTAAAAATGAACATGCCATGTAGATACTTTCAGTAAAAGCTTAAAAGAATATGTGGGCAAAAAATCTTCAAGGTTTATAATGTTTTGTGCTATCCACGCATCACCTCCTGTTCACCCACACTGTGACTGAATGCCTCCACGACTAAATCAAGGAAGTTGTTACTTCCTCTCAACTTCCTGCTTCCTAGTACCTACAAGAAGGTACTTGCATATGTGAGTAAAACAATTGTCTTGGGGAGCCCTGTAAGCTTTCTTCTTTGGCTGAACTGTGATGATTGCTTTTCTCTTCAGACATACATGGGAAATAGGAAATTGGCTTCATTATCAAATGAAAAATAGAAGCATTTAAGGAACATGTCTACACTGAATATATAACATATAACAAAAAAGCACTCAATTAATTTAGAATGGGAGGACTGTACTTTGAAAGATCATGTTTTTATTAGTTACATAGTTGCCATGAAATACTGAGTTTTTAAAAAAATGTTGAACTGAGGAGTAAAATTTTCTTGTGATTAAAAGAGAACGGTAATGATAATACATATATTTTGATAGATTATCCACAGTTTGTCCAAAATTGGATGTGTAAGATTCCCTGATGGAAGCATGGCTCAATTAAATTATAGAGTGATGAGAAGTCATTAGATCATTCAGTCTGACTTTCTGTATATCATAGTGTATTAAATTTAACTCACTTAACCTTGTATTGATCCAAGTAACTTCCATTTGGTTGAAAAATATTATCCAGAAAAACACTTAGTCTTGAAGACTTAAAGAGAGTGAGAGAGTGAGTGTGATTATTATGGTCAGTCATACTTTCTGTTTAATATTTATAAGTGTTTTTTAAAATATTTTTGTGGCTTCTGTTCCTTACCACTTGTAGTTTTTCTGTGTGTATAACCCAGTTTTGGTGCAGATAAGCTGTGTGCAGCTGAGACTCATAAACAGCTGTTTTTCTTGAAGACAACCATACGCTGTGATTAACTCTGTGATTCTTTCTTGAGGGCCTAAAGAATGGTGTTAGACTAACAGTTTTATAGTTGTTTCTCCCTATGCATGGTTCTGAGAACAGCCTTGTATTACTCTTAGTACTTCCGTGAATCAGATAAAATTCTGAGTGGGCCCTTTAGCCTTCAGAATAGTGTCTCTAGAAATTTGATTTATGATACTTGATTTACAGAATGCTTACTTTCCTATCATTATATGTTTCACACCGAAGAAATGCTTAAGATTTCTGGTGAGCAAAAATTGCAACCAGTGATTTCTCATGGCAGGAGTGAGAACTGAATTCATATCCCCTGCATTGTCAAGCAAAGTTTGACTTTTTCTTCTTAGTGAAGAAAGGAACTATTTTCAGGCTTGAATGTGGTCTTATGCTCAGGACAATTTGTGAGATTTAAGATCCAGTCCCATTTTCTGTTTCCCTACCAGCTGAGTTAGGTGGCTTTCTGCTCTATGGTTTTTAATTTGGATACTTCTAAAATGCCTAGCTTGCCCCATGCACATGGTACAGGATGCTTGGTTGAGCTGATAAGGAATTCCAGGTTCCATTGAAAGGGGTATATCCCTAGAATAAAGTATTGTGCAGTTCATTGTTGCAGTCCTGTGGAGTTAGCTGAGATCTGGAAACTGAATAACAAAGTGAAAAAGAATGAATAAAAGGGGGGAAAAAAGGAAATGTCAAAACTCAAGGACAGTGGACTAGACTTAGAACAGAGAGCTGCCTATAAAACTTGGAGTAAGAAAAGAATTTACTGAAGACAGACAGCTATTGAGGGCTGTACAGAAGGAGCAGGGAGAAAAGGCTGGTAGCTAAAGTAATTTCTGAAAAGTCAAAATTGTTTTAACTTATAGAAGATGTAATGAATTGAAATTCAGAGGAGTTTGGCAGTCATATCTTGATGAAAAAAAGGTGTAAGGAATACTAATAAAATAGATTATAGTCTAACAGAGTAAATTGGCTTCAAGATGAAGAGCAACAATATTTTCAAGCATGTATTTATTTCTGAATCAATTCATACCGCTAAGATGTGCCTGCCATTCTAGCCCTTTTTTAAAGTCCTTTTTGAGTCTATGTGCAAAGTAGAAAAATAGCATAAATACCCCTCCTCCCATATAAGAAAGTTAGTCTTCAGTGCTGGAGTAGAAATTTCTAATCTAGGAAATCCTAGGGTAACTTTCAGAAGCTGGTTATGTTTTCAGTGATCAGTAGCTTCATGTTTGATCAGCGTATTGGGTTTGCATGGCAAGGTTTTGATAGTGGGGGTCTGCAGAGGTGGCTTCTGTGAGAAGCTGCTAGAAGCTTCCCTCATGTCCAATAAAGCCAGTGCCAGCCAGCTTCAAGTTGGACCTGCTGCTGGCCAAGGCTGAGTCCATCAGCGACGGTGGTAGCACCTCTGGGATAACGTATTTAAGAAAGGGAAAAACTGTGCAATTGCAGCTGGAGAGAGGAGTGAGAACACATGAGAGAAAAGACCCTGCAGACTGCCAGGTCAGTGAAGAAGGAGGGGGAGGAGATGCTCCAGGTGCTGGAACAGAGATTCCCCTGCAGCCCATGGGGAAGACCATGGTGAGGCAGGCTGTCCCCCTGCAGCCCATGGAGGTCCACAGTGGAGCAGATATCCACCTGCAGCCCATGGAGGACCCCACGCCGGAGCAGGTGGATGCCCAAAGGAGGCTGTGACCTCATGGGAAGCCCGTGCTGGAGCAGGCTCCTGGCAGGACCTGTGGCCCTGTGGAGAGAGGAGCCCACCCTGGAGCAGGTTTTCTGGCAGGACTTGTGACCCCATGGGGGACCCACGCTGGAGCAGTCTGTGCCTGAAGGACTGCAGCCTGTGGAAGGGACACACGCTGGAGCAGTTCATGAAGGACTGCAGCCTGTGGGAAGGACTCACACTGGAGAAGTTTGCGGAGGACTGTCTCCCGTGGGAGGGACCCCACAGTGGAGCAGGGGAAGAGCGAGGAGTCCTTCCCCTGAGGAGGAAGGAGCGGCAGAGACAATGTGTGATGAACTGACTCCAACCTCCATTCCCTGTCCCCCTGCGCTGCTGGTGGGGAGGAGGTAGAGAATTCAGGAGTGGAGTTGAGCCCGGGAAGAAGGGAGGGGTGGAGGGAAGGTGTTTTAGATTTGGTTTTACTTCCCATTATCCTACTCTGGTTTGATTAGTAATAAATTAAACTAATTTCCCCAAGTCTAGTCCCCCATGACAGTAATTGCTGAATGTCTCCCTGTCCTTATCTAGACCCACGAGCCTTTCATTATATTTTCTCTCCCCTGTCCAGTTGAGGAGGCGAGTGACAGAGCGGCTTTGATGGGCACCTGGCATCCAGCCAGGATCAACCCA